CAATACGTGGTCGAGTTGAAGACAAGCAGACACGCATTCTCTGATCAACGGAAAGAAGCCTCTCCCGTTTTTTTGTTTTTTATGTTTGTTAGTGTCGAAAAGCCTAACTTTCCGATGTTGTTGTGGATGTCAAGTGCGTGTGCGTGTGTGCCGTGAAAACTTGTGATGTATAATAGTGTGCCGTGAACCAAAAAAGGTTGAGAACCACTGCCCTATATAGTCAGTATAGTCTATATAGTACGAGACACGAGTAGTGAGTACTACATATTATTCTTATTAAATAACAATAAAAGTTCCATTAGTTTTTACCTTGGAAAATTAACGCAGGTATTTGGATGTATGAGAACCTATTATCTATATATTGAGTAYCGTAGGACAAATTATAATCTAGCAAATGCCACCAAATAGCAACATGTGACAACAAGTAATAACTAATAGGTAACAAAAACTTGTAATTATTATATAACTTTTTTATTTATTTTTATGATTTCATTTTTAAAACAATAGTAATAGTGAATACGAAATTATATAAAATTTTCACCTACTTTATTTTATTGTAATTCAAAATATTATTATGGTGGTMCGGAAAGAAAAGAAATTGTCGTAAGTTTTTTATTTTATTAAAAACCATTATAGAGTATTTTCTTTTTCTAAGTGATGTCTTTAATTGTATAATAGACGTATAATAAGCAGGCCAGTCCGCTTCTACTGCTTTGCCATGTTTACTAAAATATTTAGGTAAGTTTGTTCCTAACATTTTTTGATAGGATTTATATATACTTTTACAATGTCAAGGCTACTCATTTTGATGTGAAACATGCCATGTCAGACTATTAAGCTATTTCATTTGTCAGTCGTCACATGAATAAAATATTAATATCAACAATGAAACCCACGAAAAACTTATTCTTACTGTGTCAATACTCAATATTGACATTGCAAATCATAAACCTGATTATTCTATCACGCCTTAAACTATTCATAGTCGATTATAATATATGATTTAAAACTGTCAATCTTTTGTGATTTGTACATATATTAAAATATTAATATTTGCGTATGTATAAAATGCATATTAAGTTAGATTTTTACATAACAAATTACTGCACCTCCCTGATAATCTATGGCTTGTGATAGGGGATGATGAGTTAAAAACTTCAAATCATTTAGACACTTATAAATAATTAAAGGTAATATATTATTTTCCAAACTACCTACAAAATATAATCCAAAAGACCAGAATAATACCTATCAATTAGAGCAAATATAATAAAAATTTATATAATTTCTTTTTGCAAGTTTCTCTACCATTTTTTCTATTCTAAACTGTAGTATAGGACATAGGTACTTTAGGCTGGGAATGTAAGATTCAAGATTTGCTTTCACATCACTCTCACGGCYCACATCATAATTGATTGAAAAAAGTCATTTAAAATACAATTACTCTACTTTGTTTAAAAAAAATATCACCGACTTCCGTTACCAAAGTAGGCGCTCGTCGCTAAGATAAGTCATAATCACATTGGTTTGTTAACATTAAAAATCTCAACTTCCATTTGTATACCTAGTCGAATTWTTATAGAACAAAGAATATCTGAGTAAGTTGAACAAACAGAACATTAGAGATCCACAAAATATATAATAAGTTTAAACTGTCATCGCATATTCAATCTGCGTACCTACATAATATTTTTACGATTTTTTCATGTCTCAGGATTGTGTGCCGTGTGGCGAGCATAAAATATATTAACAAATGGCTG